TAAAATAATTAAAATTATATATTAAAAAATATTCTTAAATAGCATATAATTATATCTAAATAATTAAAATTATAAATTAAAAAAATTTATATATAGTATATTCATATATCTATATTTTTACACTGGATTATATTATATTATTAAATAATAATGATAATATAGTAAAAAAAAATAAAAAAATTAAAATATTTATTTTTAAATTATAAAGAATAGCAAGCATTAGAAAAATTAGTAGATTTATTAAAGCTCTTTGTGTAAGTTACTAAACTTATTAGTGAAAGTTCTTAACATTAAGTATAATATATTCTATTTAATAAAACTTATAATTCATTTTTTGACAAAAAATTTAATTATTACTGATAAATCAATTTTAAAAGCTTGTAATATAAAAAATTATTAGATTAATAATAAAATAATATTATTATAATAATATAAATTTCTTTAATTTTATAATTTTTTAAATTTTGAATTTTTGATTAATCAATCAATTTATAAGAAGCATATGATTTTGAATAATTTAATTAGTATATTAATTATAAATTCAGTCATGATTCAGTAATATTTTTGCAATGCTTTAGTATTAAAAGTTAACAATTCACAAATAATTTATTAATAATTCAAAAATACTTCAGAAATCTTATCTCTTTATTTTATTTGTTCATTTATAATTCTTTTATTTCAAACTTGTAATTATGTACTAGAGTAATAAATAAGTTATGAGTAAAATTTAGATAAAATCTGTAAAATCTTAAAGATATATAAATATCTCTGCTTTTAAACATATTTGAATAGTAATAATTCATTTGTTTCTAAAAATACTTGAATTATACTTATCTTATAATTTTCTCTATATCTTTTGCTTTAATATTCTGTTTTTAATTATCTCTTCTGTCATAATAGATTATATTCTGGTTAATCATATATTTTTCTTATCTAAAAAATTTTCAATCTGAAGCTTCTTCTGGTTCAAGCCAAAGATTCGCGAATATCATTTCTGTAATCCAGGAACAGTTTTCGGATATCTTTGATAGAGTTAAGGGTGCGAATGATTATACTTTAGATCAGATGTGTAATGTTGTATCGGCTGATATTCTTAAGCTTGGGATGGGAGCAATTGGAAAAGATACAATGAAGGGTTTTTACCGTGGGGAAAATATAAAAAGCGAAAATTTAGAAAAAATTGGTGCATGGATAGATCATAGACAGTTTTTCAACTACTGAGTAACGGGAAGGAACTGTCTTCTATGGGTTGGGGCCCGACAGGCTAAATAAGCAGGCAATGTCTTTTCATTGCTTTTTCTCCCTTGAAACAACCGTTACTCTAGTATTCATTATATCGTTTAATTAGCCGGCCGCCCCTTTCTCATATTATTTTACGAAAAAAAATAGCTTAGCATTGATCTTGAAGAAGTAAAGAGATAAAGATATGACTTGACCTTTTAATTATTGTATGCGTGCTGAATGATTTGTGCGGATTAAAATGTATGTTTCAGATTTTGCTTTAAGAGGCTGATGACCACCAAGAAATAACTTGGATACTCTCTGACTCATAACTTCACCGCCAAGGACTGGAGCAGACATGAAGCTATGGCGTATCCTTGATAATATATAGCAAGGGAATCACTTGCCGCCAAGGACTGGAGCAGACACGAAAGTTGTTAGTCATCAAACAACTCATAACTTCACCGCCAAGGACTGGAGCAGACATGGAGCTATGGCGTCTCCTTGATAAACAAGGGAAGTCCTCGCCGCCAAGGACTGGAGCAGACACGAGAAACTTCATATGTCATAAATTTACTCTGAAGATCAATATAAAAAGGAAACTCACGTGATAGAACGCGTTTAACGGTATAATATAGCTTGTACTGTACGTGTTGCAACTTGCGATCATGACAGCAGTACTCAGGAGTAATAAATACATGGATTTTAAAGCTTCTGAAATACATAATATCAATACACACTTTAAGGTGGTAGATGCGGGCTCTTGGCAATTGAAGCATTATTTAAGTTTTCGTCTAAAAACGATGTCACAATTTCACCATGGGTCACCGTTTACGACGATTGGCAAAACTCGCAGAATTTTATTTTGCAAAATTATACTAAAAAAAATCCCAACCTGTATAACTTCCTTCTGCAAAGAATTGCTCAATGTATGTGAAACTTTCGAGGGGTCCGCTGTACGGGAAAACTGCGAGAAGTTGTATAACAATTTCTATCAACTTAACCTTGACAAGCACATTGAAAAGAATATTGTCGAGAGAATTCGGTTACTTGATTCTACAATATTTTCAGAGCGTAGTTACTCAGGGTTCTTACAAGCAACGTGCCAAAGACAAGAAGCTTCGGCGTCTGATGAAAATCGACGTGAAGAACCTGAATTGGTTTGTACTTAAATCCGTATTGTTTTTTATTTTCGTTGAACTTTTTCATTGTAGCTCTGCAGTATTTTTTTATTTTATAAATAACTGCTATCTTTTGAACTTGAATAGAATAGAGAGGAAGGCAAGCAAGAAGAATCGCGTCAATTTGTAGGACCACAAACTTCCGATTCATCAGATCTGTCTTCGAAGAAGACAATCGACTGCCAAGAAGTGAATAAGATCAATGATTATGTAGAGGTGGAAGAAAATGCCGGAGATAGTAATGGTCAATTTGTAGAACGGATAGAAGATTATAAAACAACGTCAAAAACCTGCCGATCGTGGGTCCTCCGTAGTGGTACTGACGTTGGAGAGGTATTAGCAAGATATGTGGAAACTATTCCGGAGGCTCAAAAATGTTTAAAGTGAGTTTATTGAATTGTCAAAGGCCATGAATTTTTGATGATTATGTTTATTCATGGATTTTTCACTTGTAGTCTCGCTTATTGGAACATCCTTGATCTTACTGAGGATACCCTAATAAGATCTTTATTTTCAGCGAATGACTGGGAAGAAATAACGGAGAGCTTTGGAAGAGATGTAATTTTAATCGAATCAGATATACCGGATGTCGAAATATATTTTTTTAATGAAGTGGAAAAGGTAGTAAGGTTTTCTTGTTATAGCGTTTTAAATGTTGCTAGCCAATCCATTTTTAGATAACAAACAAAGAAAACGAAAACATTATTAAGGAAATCGAAAGATTATCTCCAGAAATAATTGAAAAGAACAATCATGTTGAGCTAGCAAACAATGAAAAAGATATTGTTGATAATATCAGACGTGCTATCATAACATAGTAAGTTAGTCAATGTAGGATTACTTTATATCTTTTGATTATTCCACTTTCCTATTCTTGTCATAGTGCCGAAAATTTAAAAGGGCTCGAACTACCCGTTTCAGAGAGCGATTTTGACAATGATTTTCCGAACATGTTGACAAAACGATTCTTAGATAAAGAAGACCTCAAGATGGATGTGTAAGTATTGACAAGAATACATCAATCTGATTTTCATCTAGTTAACCCATTTTCCTTCCAATTTTTGTATTGGAGAAATCGCCTGCTGGGCTTCTTCCCGGCGCAGGAATGAAGGGCGCTCGATTATCCTTCGCGCACGAATAGGCCAGAAGTGTGATTTTCGGGGCACATTAAAAAATAATGTTAATAGTCTCGAAGCAACCATTGGGCTTAGAAGCGGTGGTCTACCGGTCGCCAATCGCAGAAAAATATTAGAGGATCGTATTGATCTTTCCGTAGCTATGCGTGATGTTTTGTACGATTTCTTCAAGGCTAATTCGAATGCACCTGGAGACGATCTCCATCACACGTATGTTCTCGGAATCCAATCTTGGGGTAAGTAGACAAATATAATGATTAAATTTCAAAATTTTAATGACTAATATTTTTTGTTCTCATGCTAAGGGTGGGTTCACGCGTACTACGCCTCGGAAGACTTTCCCAGACCAAGATGCCAAACACCCAGAAATCGCTTGCAATTCTTGAAGGATTTTATGCGCTCATGTCAGATGTCAAGGTATTGTATCATTGTCATTGTACAGTAGTTGATATTATACAGCATCTCATTATCAGCTTATCTCATTTCAGGCTACGTTGAAGGCAATTTGCGACCATACAAATAAAGTCTCACTTTCCAATTCACGTGCACATAGAGATCGCAAGAGGAAAAAATCAGTACATGACAAGCAACTCGGATCGTTTGGAACACCTTCAACAAGCCCAAAGAAAAGTAAATCGGGTGATCTTTAAGTAGAATTTATATTGTATGAGATATCAGTGAAAAGTTAAATTGCAGGAATAATTAGATATAATATACAGTATATTAGGATAATTGGCTATTTCCCGAACTTGTAATTTTTTTTTACTTTATTGCTAACCAATATACATGTATTGTGATACGAAGCTTGGTTGATCTAAGATAGCTGTGGATATCACGAGATGATCTACAACAACTAATGCAAATTCGGAATTTTTTTTTATTCCTAGCAGATATATTATGGTATCGACGCGTGAATTTAAACTGTAAAGCTTTTAACATGGTATTTTTGCGGTTTTGGTTGCCGATTGTCACAATCTCGTGATGGAAATTTATTATCCAGTTAATACAATATATTTATCTTGAATAGTATTACACATTTTTGCGGAGAGACAAAATACTCTTTAATAAAGCATTTTTCTGAATCAATCTGTCAAATCAGTTAGACAGTCATGTGTATAATTTCACCCTGAAATCTTTAATTGAGAGGATGATTTTCATGGAATTCCAATTTTTGGTCCACTTCAGTCCGGATAGGTTATATTGTTCTCCTCGCGTTTATTACTTCATGGAAACTTTATAGTCACTAAAGGCATCTGCCATAGCATAGTATATTTCATATATAGCTTCAGCGGGATTTCTCAAATATTTATAACGATCTTAGGAATGGGATAGAAAGAGATGCTCGTGGGTCGATTGTTCCTACGATCCTACGTCAAGATCTAAATGATGCACGAAATCTGAATAACCGGATCAGACTCGAATCCCACCGGCATCTACTGATTGTAGGAGAGGGCATATCGGTAAGTCTTTATCATAATGCAAGTCTTGTAATATATAAACGAAAAAATGACATTAATATAATTGATTATTTTATTCTTTTTAATATATTATTATTATCATTATTATAATTATAATTATTATTCCTTTCTCTATACTTTAATTTAGAATACTTATTTAACTTAGTATTAGACTTAAATTTGAGTAATTCATACTTATATCTTGTCTTTCTATCTCTTAGCTTAAATTTAACTGCACTTAATCTGGAATAAATATATTTTATATAATATTTTAAGATTAATAAATTCTCTTAATTAGTAATAAATATTATAATTTTTAATTATTAGAATTATATAATATTTATTTATTATTAATTTTTATTAAGTTATAATTAATTATAATTTAAAATTTATTAATTATATAATACTTATTTATTATTTTATTAAAAATATTAAAAATATTATTATTATTTTTAATATAATAAGATTAAATAATTTTGAACTTTTATCAAGTTAGATTTAATATTATTCTTATTAATAATATTATCAAGAAATAATAAAAAAATTTCATTAAAGTAATATTTATCTAATTATATTTTTAATTTAATAATATAAATTTTATTAAAAGTTTTTAAATATACTAAAATATAAATATTATTAAAATATATAAATTATAAATTTATTAATATAATTTTTAAAAATAATTTTTATTAAAATAAATATATTAATTAAATTAAATAATATAATATTAAACTTAAAAAGATTTTATTTAATAATAAAATTAATTTTTAAATTTCATATTAACTAATTAATATTTAATTATAAAATTTATAATTAAGAAATATTTTATATTTTAATATTTAAAAGTTTATTAATATATAATAATAAGTATTAATAATAATATTTTTAATAAGATAATAAATAAATATTATATAATTATAATTAATAAATTTTTAATTATAACTTAGTAAAAGATTAATAATAAATAAGTATTATATAATTATAATAATTAATTAGAAATTATAATACTATTATATTATAAGTTTATACATATATAAGTAATTTAAAATGATAATAGTAATTATATTCATGATAATTATTTATTTTTTAATTTTAAAGAAGTTAAGATAACTAATTATCTTCTTAATGAGATAATTTATATGAGTTTTTACTTTTAATAAAATTATTCTCTCAATAGAACAAGAAGAAAATAAGATAAGATATATGATAAATATGCATATTTATTATAAGAAAATACTAGTTAATTATTTTTAACTTAGTAATTAATTATTTCTATCAAACTTAATTTAATTCTTTAAGTTATTTTTATTTTAAAGAATAGTTCTTTATAAAAATTCTATTAGTTCTTGTTTTATAAAAATAACTAGATATACTATTCTTTTTATATTTTTATTTATAATTTTATTTTTATATTTATATATCTATAAATATCTTCTGAAAATACTATTATTTTAAGTATTAATTATTTATTATTTCATGTAATAAGACAAAATTAAAATTTTATTTTGAAAAAATAATCTATTAATATTTATTTGAGATAGAAATTTTTTTATATTAATTCATATTATTATTATTATAATTACTTTAATAATTATAAGTTAAATATTTAGTTTTTTTATAATTATAGTAAATATTATTATTACAATTAAGATTATTATTATTATTATTATTATATTAGAAATTATTATATAAATTATTATTATTATTATTAATTAAATTTTTTAATTTGCTTTATTAATTCTAATAAAATAATATTAATGTTAGATTATTTAGTTATTAAATTATTAAGAATATAAATATTTTAAAATAATAAGAAATATTTTGAATTATAAAATATAAATAAATTATTATATATAATTTTATAATTAATTTCCAGTTTAATAATAATTATAATAATTTTTTTTAAAGTATCTAATAAATTAATATTAATAAAAAAAGTATATTATAATTAAATAAATTCTTAAATTTAATATTATATAAAATAATCATCAGTAAAATTAATTTTATAAAATAATAAATAAATATTAATAATATATTAAGTAATTAATTTATTTATATCTTATATTTAAATATTTAATTATTACTTTTTTTAAATATAAAAATTTTAATTTAATATTTATTTAATATATATTCTTGTTTTATTTTTATCTTTTAATTGAAAAAATACTGAAAAAAAATTAATTAATCTTTTGAATTTATAATTTTAATATTGTTACCTTTTTGGTGCGAGTTCTGAGGTGAGGGCGAGTATTAAATCTAATATTACAAAAACACGTAATAAAAGTGATCACGTATTTAAAACGATGTTTGGGAGAGTCTTTAAAAGGTTTATTAACAAGAAGGTGTCTACTATTATTTCAAAGTT